CACCTCGAAAACAACATATTGCTTTCTTATCGTCATTATGGCTTCACAACACTTCCCTAGTGCATCCGGGTCATCGTCGGGGTAATGGCAGGCCAAGAGGTGGACCCTGAGCCCGAGGCGGAGGCCCAGGAGGTGAACTCGAGCCCGAGGCGGAGGTCCAGGAGGTGGACTCGAGCCCCTGGCGGAGGCCCAGAAGGTGGACTCGAGCCCGAGGCGGAGGCCCAGGAGGTGGACCCTAGCCCGAGGCGGAGGCCCAGGAGGTGGACCTTCAGGAGGTGGACCCTAGCCCGAGGCGGAGGCCCAGGAGGTGGACCCTAGCCCGAAGCGAAGGCCCAGGAGGTGGACCCTAGCCCCAGGCGGAGGCCCAGGAGGTGAATAGCCAGGAGGCCCAGGAGGTGGACCCTAGCCGAGGCGGAGGCCCAGGAGGTGGACCCTGTGGACCCTAGCCAGAGGCGGAGGCCCCAGGAGTGGACTAGGCCCAGGATGTGACCCTAGCCAGAGGCGGAGCCCAGGAGGTGGACCCTAGCCAGAGGTGGAGGCCCAGGAGATGGACTCAAGCCCGAGGCGAAGGCCAAGGAAGTGGACCTAGCCAGAGGCGGAGGCCCAGGAGGTGGACCCTAGCAGAGGCGGAGGCCCAGGAGGATGGACCGAGCCAGAGGCGGAGGCCAGGAGGTGGACCCTAGCCAGAGGCGGAGGCCCAGGAAGGACCTAGCCAGAGGCGGAGGCCCAGGAGGTGGACCCTAGCCAGAGGCGGAGGCCAAGGAGGTGGATCCTAGGCAGAGGCGGAGGCCCAGGAGATGGACCCTAGCCCCAGGCGGAGGCCTAGGAGGTGGACCCTAGCCCCAGGCGGAGGCCCAGGAGGAAGACCCTAACCCGAGGCAGACGCCAGGGAGGTGGACCCTAGCCTGAGGCGGATGCCCAGGAGGTGGACCCTAGCCCGAGGCGGAGGCTACAGGAGGTGGACCCTAGCCAGAGGCGGAGGACCAGGAGGTGGACTCGAGCCCAAGGCGGATGCCCTGGAGGTGGACCCTAGCCCGAGGCGGAGGCCCAGGAGGTGGACTCTAGCCAGAGGTGGAGGCCCAGGAGGTGGACCCAAGCCCGAGGCGAAGGCCCAGGAGGTGGACCCTAGCCTGAGGCGGAGGCCCAGGAGGTGAACCCTAGTCCGAGGCGGAGGCCCAGGAGGTGGACCCTGAGGCGGAGGACCAGGAGGTGGATAGCCCGAGGCGCCCAGGAGGTGGCCCTAGCCCGAGGCGAGGCCCAGGAGGTGGACCCTAGCCGAGGCGGAGGCCAGAGGTGGACCTAGCCCGAGGCGAGGCCAGGAGGTTAGCCCGAGGCGGAGGCCCAGGAGGTGGAATAGCCCGAGGCGGAGGCCCAGGAGGTGGAATAGCCCGAGGCGGAGGCCCAGGAGGTGGACCCTTGCCCGAGGCGGAGGCCCAGGAGGTGGACCCTAGCCAGAGGCGGAGGCCCAGGAGATGGACTCGAGCCCAAGGCGGAGGCCCAGGATGTGGACCCTAGCCAGAGGCGGATGCCCAGGAGGTGGACCCTAGCCAGAGGTGGAGGCCCAGGAGATGGACTCAAGCCCGAGGCGAAGGCCAAGGAAGTGGACCTTAGCCAGAGGCGGAGGCCCAGGAGGTGGACCCTAGCCAGAGGCGGAGGCCCAGGAGGTGGACTCTAGCCCGAGGCGGAGGCCCAGGAGGTGGACCCTAGCCCGAGGCGGAGGCCCAGGAGGTGGACCCTAGCCCGAGGCGGAGGCCCAGGAGGTGGACTCGAACCCGCGGCGGATGCCCAGGAGGTGGATCCAATCCCGAGGCGGAGGCCCAGGAGGTGGACCCTAGCCAGAGGCGGAGGCCCAGGAGGTGGACTCGAGCCAGAGGCGGAGGCCCAGGAGGTGGACCCTAGCCAGAGGCGGATGCCCAGGAAGTGGACCCTAGCCAGAGGTGGAGGCCCAGGAGGTGGACCCTAGCCAGAGGCGGAGGCCAAGGAGGTGGACCCTAGGCAGAGGCGGAGGCCCAGGAGATGGACCCTAGCCCAGGCGAGAGCCTAGGAGGTGGACCCTAGCCCCAGGCGGAGGCCCAGGAGGAAGACCCTAACCCGAGGCAGACGCCAGGGAGGTGGACCCTAGCCTGAGGCGGATGCCCAGGAGGTGGACCCTAGCCCGAGGCGGAGGCTACAGGAGGTGGAACCTAGCCAGAGGCGGAGGACCAGGAGGTGGACTCGAGCCCAAGGCGAATGCCCTGGAGGTGGACCCTAGTCCCAGGCGGAGGCCCAGGAGGTGGACTCTAGCCAGAGGTGGAGGCCCAGGAGGTGGACCCTAGCCCGAGGCGGATGCCCAGGAGGTGGACCATAGCCCGAGGCGGAGGCCCAGGAGGTGGATCCTAGCCAGAGGCGGAGGACCAGGAGGTGGACTCAGCCCGAGGGGATGCCCGAGGAGGTGGACCCTAGCCCGAGGCGGAGGCCCAGGAGGTGGAACCGCTAGTCCGAAGGTGGAGGCCCTGGAGGT